AAACCACATCCCCTGGAGAGGTCACAGGCAAGTGCACAACACTCAGACGTGTGTAACTCCACGCTGGCTCCTCCACCTTCTCTATGCGATGTCTGCTGAGGGGGCTGCAGGCCACGCGAGGCAGACACTTGTTTTCTTTGTTGACCTCCTTTCTCTCACTTACCACATCCATCAGTTACAGGGCCCTGTCAGCTGTGCCTCCTGCACTAATGCTAAACCCTTCCCCACTGCCTTCATCACCTCTAAACATGGACTGCTGCAAAAAGCTCCCTGACTAGCATTCTCTTCAGTCCACTGTGGTTCAAGAATGATCTGAGGAAGTAAGGCTGATCAGGTCACCCTACTACCCTACACTCCAGTTTCAAAACCCTTCACTGGTTCTCCATGGCCCGTGAGCTGAAATCCACCTGCCTGGCTGACAAAGGCCTCCCGCCAGCCTCGGCCCACCTTGCACGCCTGCGCCCCTCCAGCCCCTCTAAGAAGCTCATAAGCCCCGAGCCCCACGAGCCCTCTCTCTGATGGTCCGTGCCTGGACACATGCCTGGACACATGCCCTCCCCTGCCGTGTCTGGTGATCACTGCTCGGTCTGCATTTGCTCAGAAGCCTCATCCTCCCTCCGAGGTCTTCTCCCTAAGCCTCAGTAGCTTCTACATCAGCCCTTGCCACGCTGTGACTCACACACACGTGCCTCTCCTTTCCCTCAACTACATCCTACCATCTCTGTGCTCCCTGCAGCCAGCAGTCTCAGTGTTTGTCAAAAGGGAGCGAGACAGGGAGGGTGGGAGGCAAAGCAGGACAGTGTCTTTTCTGTACAGACTTTTGGGTTGTGACAAGATTTCCTGGAGGAGGGGAGGTCCAGCTCCTCTACCTCCATTATTCTAGTCTCCAGTGTAATGGCTTCAGTGGTAAGATTATCCACTTGGAAGCTAAATATAAAAATAATGAAATCTAAGACATGACACCATAAAACTCCAAGAAGAGAACAAGACAAAACAGTTTCAGACCTAAATCTCAGCAATATTTTCTTGGATGAGTCTCCCAAGGCAAAAGAAATAAAAGCAAAAATAAACAAATGGGATCTAATGAAACTTAGAAGTTTTCGCACACCAAATGAAACTATCAATACAAAATGAAAAGACAGCCTACAGAAAGGGAGAAAATACTCGCAAACAACACAACCAACAAGAGGTTAATTTCCAAAATATACAAATAGCTCATACAATGCAGTATCAAAAAAACAAACGACCCAATCAAAACCTGTGCAGGCCTAATTGACATTTCTCCAAAGAAGACATAAAGATGGCCAACAGGCACATGAAAAGGTGTTCAAAATCGCTAGTTATTAGAGAAATGAAATCAACACCACAATGAGATACCACCTCCCACTGGTCAGAATGGCCATCATCAAAAAGTCTACAAGTATTAAATGCTGGAGAGGATGTATAGAAAAGGGAACCCTCCTACACCTGGTGAATGGAAATTGGTGCAGCCACTTAGGGAAAACAGTATGGAGGTTGCTTAAAAAACTAAAAATAGAGCTACTATGTGATCCAGTAATCCCATTCCTGGGCATATATATCTGGAAGAGACAAAAACTCTAATTTGAGAAGATACACGCACCCCAGTATTCACAGCAGCACTATTTACAAAAGCCAAGACGTGGAAAAAACCCAAATGCCCATCAACCAATCATTGGTTTAAGATGTGTTTATATATACACAGTGGAATATTACTCAGCCATTAAAAAGAAATAATGCCATTTGCAGCAACATAAATGGACCTAGAGGCTGTCATACTAAGTGAAGTCAGAGAAAGACAAATGTATGGTATCACTTACATACAGAACCTAAAAAATAATACAAATGAATTTATATACAAAACAGAAACAGACTCACAGACATAGAAAACAAAGTTATGGTTACCAAAGGGGAGAAAGGAGGGGGAGGGGTATAGTAGGAGTATGGGAGTAACAGATGCGCACTACTATATATAAAATAGACAAGTAACAAAGAGTTACTGTGTAACACGGGATAATATACAGTATCTTATAATAACCTATAACAGGATAATTTGAAAAATACATATAACTCTGAATCACTTTGCTGTACACCTGGGACTAACCCAATACTGTAAATTGACTATACTTCAATTTTTGAAAAAATCTGTGGGGGGGTGCTGGGAAGAGAACAGCTCACAGTGGTAGAGCGCATGCTTAGTATGCACAAGGTCCTGGGTTCAATCCCCAGTACCTCCTCTATAAATAAGCAAACCTAATTACCTCCCCCTCCCCAAAATTAACAGGGCTTCTCTCTTTCAGTAACCTTGGGGGCAATATCATCAATGAAGTGGTCCTGAATCTGCTTAAGGCCGGATGGTCTCGGGAAGAAATCAGTATGGAACACTTGAAGCCCCACCTCCAGGCTGAGATTGTGGAATCCACAGGTGAGTGACTCCCGGCCTCACGGAAAATAAGCCTCTAGTGAGAGCCACCGTAGCGGGTCAGGTGTATGTGCTGGAAGCTGTGCCCATGAGGTAGACAGGGTGCTCAGGACCACAGAGGACGTGCTGTATAATCAGTCACCTCATTGTCAACCTCAGGTAGGCACAAGCAAAGTGCCAAGAAAGCCAAAGTCCCTTCCTGAAAATGCTTTGAAAGGGAGTAGTCTGCCCTGGCCCTGGAAGCACGGGCCGTGGTCTGTGAAGCGGGTGGACCCTGAGGTGAGAGTCTCACTGCGCGAACCTCGTGGCTCCGCCTCCAGTCGTAGGTAGGGTGGCTCCACCTTCTGCCTTCTGCCATCATCAGATGAAACCGTGAGCTGGTGGGCTCAGCCCCACCCTCTGGCTTCCCCTGCGGCACACGCCCCGTTAACCGTGGCCCTCTTTCCCTAAAAGAGACAGCGGCATAGTTCTTGACACAAACCCCACAGCCCTCCTGGACTTGGCGTATGAGAGCAAACCTTGCCCAGGCCTGAGGATGGGGGACTCCTCCCAACTCCAGTTGGGTTCAGCCCCAGGTAGGGCTCCATGTCCCTTTGGTCTTGATTTCAGACAGCGGCTTTGGGCACAGCCGTCTTGTGAAAGAAAACCTGATCGACTTCTTCATCCCCTTCCTGCCACTGGAGTACCGTCACGTGAGGCTGTGTGCACGCGATGCCTTCCTGAGCCAGGAGCTCCTGTACACGGAAGAGGCACTGGATGAAATCGCCAAGATGATGGTGTACGTCCCCAAGGAGGAACAACTTTTCTCTTCTCAGGGATGCAAATCTATTTCCCAGAGAATTAACTATTTCCTGCCTTGAGGGCTAGATGGAAACGTCTCAGGAAAGCTTAGCTCTCTTCCTTCCACTACTAGGACCCCGTCAGCACACTGTCCAGGACCGTAAGGGCAGGCTAGCCTCCAGCAATCCACAAGTGATATGTAAAAGGAAGGCTTTAAATCAGAGCAAAGCCAATTCTTAAAATCACATGGTGCCTTAAAAAAGAAATATTCCAAAATATGGGCCAGGTGGTTGGAGAAAGCCACGTGGGAGATAAATCCCAAGGATTTATTAGCATCTCAGCTCTTGCCGGCAGTCTCCTGGACTTGGGTGATGGGCCTGAGGCTGCAGTATCTTCAGTGATAGGGAAGGGGAGAACGAAGCTCTGCTTACCAGTGGCAGGGAAGACACCTCGAGTCCGCGGGCTGGGTGGGCCAGCTTTCCAGTTGTTATTCCCAGAGGGAAGCTGAGCAGCTCCTACCTGAGAGATCAGCAGAGTCTCAGACTGAAGGAAAAAGTGCACAGGGGAAGTATGTTTGTTTTAAATCAAATCAGTGTAGCCTGAGACTTGTTCTGATCTGCAGATTTAAAAAAGAACTGTTTTTCTGAGTTAGGGATCTTGACATGATTGTGTCATATGCACAGATTAAAGTTTTGTATTTTTCTAAAACCCCTGGCCTACCTTCTTACTGAGACCTCGTAATCGTGCTCACTCTGCAGAAGTGCAGGTGCCGGGCAATACGGATGGGGCCTGGTGGAGACGGGCACGTGCAGGCACTCACGGAGCTGACGGGGCGAGTGCCTGGCCGCCAGTCTACTTCGGTTTGCTTTGGGACCACACCAGCTGAGCTAGGGTACTTCAGCCTCTTACTGAAGAGCTGTCCGCAACATGCTGTCCATATATATGAAACAGCATTCCTGTGCTCCCAGCTTTAAAAAGAAAACAGTTGTTCTTGAGGATTGTTATGCAAATTTAAATCCTTACCTTCTCCACCGATAAGCTTCTAGAGGTTTGGTCAACCTCCTCCAGACACGGCAAGGGAGAGACACCCTTACAAACAGAGCTTTCCCTCATAAATGTAAGCATGTCTTGCAAAAGCTTAACTCTGACTGTTTTCAGAACTTCAGTGTCTGCACTTTCTTAAAGATAAGCAGCATAAAAGAATCCTTAAGCCAAAGCAGCGTATTTTGGGGTGGCAAATTCTGCTCCCTGACAAAAGCCATTTTTATTGGACTTTATGTGCATACCACTTGAGTGTATCTTACTCATCCTTAATCAAAATGTTACTTCTAAAAGCAGTGAACCCTTTTTTTAAAAATTAAAGACCAAGTCAGACAAGACCAGAATGTCCCCTGTGTGGTTCCATATTTACTCTGTTAGTGCTACCTTGACTCAGAACATTTTTAGAGCTTATTTGAAGCTGTCCTTAGAATGAACTTTGAGAGAATTAAGCCTCATTTTACAGTCACCTCGTGTTGGATGGATGGACCCACGCCCAGCACCCACCTCCTGTGTCAGCTGGGCTTCAGATCATGCCTTTGTCCATTTCCAAAACTGTAATCCATCAGAGGATGAGAAGCCACCCCCAAAGAGGACCATTCTAAAGACCATGCCAGCGGGATGCTTGCTCAAGCAGCTTCTTTACCTCACAGACGTCTATTTTATACGTAGAGAGAGAAGTTCCACTTACAGTACCTATCAGTTAAAATCATGGGAGAAACACTCCAATCACAAGCCCACATTGCCAATAAAATATTGCAACCTTTATTTAAAATAAAACACAAGTTGCAAGCCTTGTGAGACAACAGGCAGACAGCATTCCCCTTTCAAGGGCCTCATTTATTTACATCAAGTTTAACACTGTTAGCAGTTCACAGTCAGACAACAGGGTGAAAGTATTAAATTAGAAAAACAAAACACCTGAAAATATATTACAATAACAATTAAGAACATATACCTGACAACACTGGTAGTGTGACCCATGACTGATGAGTTTTCAGTTAAATCCCATATTGTCTCACTGTGTCCCCTTAGCAATACACACAGGGCAGGCCCCCCAGACCTCCCCCTCTGCGCACCCACCACACATACACCTGCAGAGCGTGACCTTTGGTATAAACATTAAACAAGTTTTAAAGAATCTGAATCATAGGTTTCAAGGACAAAGTTCTATCAACCACCATGAAATGTTCAAACTTATTTTTGCCAAGTGAGCATAAAAGTAGGGTTTCTCCATGGATAGTCATTAGAGAATCAGACTGCAAAAAGGAGGAGTGTGGTGTCCACCCAGGAGACGGGGTTCGGAGCATGCACCAACAGCTCAGCCAGCCTGTGCGTGGCACACACACTGACCAGGGCACAGCTTCCACTCACCACAGGGAAAGGTCGGGCTCCTCTCTCTCACCCCTCTCCTTTCTTAGTGAGCAGGGCAGCAGTGCACCCTCCACACAGATCTGACGTATCAGTTTTCAAACAGACGCCCTAAAACACTGTAAGATGAGTACCTCACTGTTCCTTCTAGTTGCTGAATACTAATCTCGCTGAGGGACAAGCAGCCTAATCAAGGTGATTTCTCAGGATCTCCGCAAATCTCCCTCATAATGGAGTCCCAATAACAGTGGCCACAGTGAAAACCGGCTTGTCACAATGCAGGAAGGCTGGTTATCTGGCCCTCATCTACCAGAAACCTGTCACTTGGCATTCCTGCCACTCACAACACATGGTACGGTGCTTCTGAATTGTACAAAACAGTATTTGGATTCTCCACCAATGACCCTAAAGTATCACAGGATCCCGTGAAATCTCAATCAAGAATAAATCTGGCATACCTGTTAGGATGTTAGAACTGCTGAAAAGTAAGTATCTTTATATGTGAAAATTTTACTAACCAGAAGTCCCATTCTCCAAGTGAAGTTTATGATGCTTAATTACATGATTTAAAACTCCTATCCTGAGGCTCAGAAGCAAATCTTAAGCAAGCTCCAAACAAACTCTGTATTTCCTTTCTGAAAGCCTGCTGGCATTTGACAGTCTGCCTCCACCGTGTCCTAAAGAGTGGGCTAGAGTGTTCCGAGACCTCAAGCCCCGCGTGTATAGCTCAGCAGCTTGCAATGACACGCAGGACCTGGAAACGTGTTGCTTCGAGTACGATGATGAACAAAGAATCTCACAGAACAGGCACAGACAGCGTGCAAGGGGTGTGGTCTGAGGACAGTGTGGGGCCTGGCCTTTGAATTTAAAGGAGACACCCTTTCCCTTAGATGGTCTGCAGGTCTGAAGATCTGCTCACATGCCATCTGTGACCTCAGGCTGAGGTAACAGGGTCTCGCTACTGTGTTCGGGTCACACAGTAGCGGGGAGGGTGAAGGAGATAATTTTTCTAGGAGAGGTAAACAATTCCAATTTTGTAATCGTACATAGTGCACTTGGAGGGAGAGGAGGGTCCAGTCAGCGTGTCCTCCCACCAGCTCCTCAAGCTGACGGAGAAGAGTGCAGCAGGCTACCAGATCAGCACCCCGGGTGGAAGGACATCGCACTGACTGCAGCCTGAGCCACTGCGACCCAAAAACTTCATTTCTGCCAGTTCTAAGTCGATAATCGTGCAACATCAACCCAGCTGACAAGTCTTGGCCTCTGCAAAATGCACAAAACCCATCTTTGAAGGCACAATCCTCTAGGAATAATCTCTACCACTCCGCTCCCGATCGGCCCAGAATCAAGACCGCCTGGCCAGGCCTCCTCACCCAGAGAGAAACACTGCATCTTCTTACCCCGATTATCACAGGGTGCAGCCTTTCCTAATTGCCTGTCCTTTGGATCTAGGCTATTGAGTCAGAAGTGAAGGAAGTATCTTGCATACTTGTTATCTCAAGACAGACCATACACCTCAGGTGGGGGCATGAAAAGCAGCAGCCCAGAGCAGAAACTCGTCTCTTTGGACACGGCAGTAAACGTCACAGAAGACAGGCTGGAGCTAAGACAGTCACTTGGGCAGACGCTCTGAAGCAGGGCGCAGCCCATTCCACTGCCCTGAAATCCACCCACACTTCCCCAGTGATACCGGAAGATGGGATGCCAGTGAAGGTCTGGCTGTAACAGAGCTGCAGCAAAGCAGGTAATGATAATTGTCACTCCAAGCGCTTTTGGCTTGCTAAAAAGCTAGCCTTGTATCAGATTTTGTAAAGTCTGGTAGATGGAAAATTGGAACTCTCTCCAAAGAATAAAAATATCTTGACCGTTAGGAGTAGGGCAAGTTTTAGAACCAGCCCAAGGCCTCTGCTCTCGGACTAGTGAGGCTGTGGTTAGCAGCAGTTTCCGTGTTGCCATGTAGAAGGTACAGGCACCCCTGGGGCTGCCCTTTCCTGTTTCTCTCCCGCTCCCACATAGCCCAGACTGAAGCAGGCATTTACAAAAGAACTAAGCTACTGGCTGACAGAAGCTAAGAAATACAGAGAGCTGAAGTCCACTGATACATAGTAAGAAACTTACGTCCAGAGAAACTTACCTACATAAAGGGGACTGGTCACAACAGGTGCTTAGGGCACAGAGATGGACCCCAAACCCAGGTAGAACAAGTTAATGCAAGCAAGATGACGGAACCCCAAAATCATCCAGAACAAGAACGGAGACAACACGAACTCCTGTGGGGGCACAGCCTGACAGTAATGACGACGTCAGTGGCAAAAGTGGGAGGGAGCGGGGGAGGTCAGACCGCAGCGCAGCTGTAACGCACAAGCGGCCGCCACTGCAATTCACTCGTGAGTGTTTTTATAATGTAACAGGTGAGTTATGTTCAGCTACTCCTCTTAGAAAACAAAAATAAACATGGATGATGAATATCAAGCTCATTCATAACTGAACGGGAATCCTAGAAAAGTGCACTGGTTCTAGAGCCATCTCTGACCACCCCCTCCCCACCAAAAACCCCAACAAAACGATGCAGGACATCGGTTAAAAAAGACACTGTCAACATGGACAGGTGACAAGTCTGCTCCCACCATATTCTGGGTCCTAAATGGCTGAACATGTGGACAAACGTTCAAGGGTGAGAGGGTCTCGTTCTCCTTGAGTCAAGGTCTGGAAGGGCTTCTTTGTTCTGGAGTGAGTACACGTGAGTACTTTTTAAAGATTCTTAATGAAACCAGAAAGTTGGTCCCTAGTTTTCTGAAGTTATTCAGTGCTGAGCTACAGTTTTAGCAACACACTCACTATACCTGCACATATGCATTTAGCAGTTTCATATTTATAAACGTGATAAACCACAGAGCTGACTGTTTACACGTCGGCATTTTCAGGTCCCCCACAGGCAAAAGCTTCTAAGTCAATCAGCAGCGAATTAGCCGTTTTATCTTCTAAATAGACATTAATAATACAACCTTTCATTACATTTGATACTTTTCTCAAAGTGCTTTCATATACATTATCTCAGTTATTAAAATGATGTGAAACAATAAAGTTTTTTTTAAAGAAAGAGGAATGTAGAACTAAGGTTTTTAAAACTTAAGTTGTTATTTCTCTACTACAAAGTGCAGATTGCTGTGTCACTGAGGTCTGTCCAGAAGAAGGACCCCATAGAACTTTCTTCAGTTACTGAGTTCTACTGAGTGCCTGCTTTACTAGTGTTGCCATTACTCAACATTCAAGCCCCTTAAGGTCCGAGAGTGCCAGGAACGTGTGCTTTAGAAAGTGTGCAGCACCATGCAGACTGATTGTCGATCTGAGCCACTCCTTTTTTGCGGCGTCTCACAAGGCAACAGGAATGGTAGGAAGAGCCCACAACGAGAAACTGAACAGACCTGAACTCTAGCCTTGGCTCTGCCACTGATTAACTGCGCTGAGTATGAGCAAGTAAATTAACCATCCTCCCTTCCAAGTTCTTACGCTGTAAAGACAAGATTTGCGGTATTGCTAGTGTTCACACAGCACTGGGTGTCCGAAACACCTGGCAGGATTCTTGGAAAACGCACTGGCTGAGACCCAGCCCCGCAGGGAATTCTGATCTGGGGTGAGGCCAATGCACTGGGGTGGGGGGGTGTTTTTGTTAATTTCTTTTAACCCCAGGAAATTCTGTCGCACATCCCTGGCTGAGACTCACTGGACTAAGTATGAATAACAGTAGTAGTAAACGCTTGCGGAGTGCTCTTATGTGCCAGGCACTCAAGCTAAGTATCCTACACACGTTACCTCCTTTAATCCTTACAACATCGTGAGGTAGTTACTATTATTACCCCTGTTTTCCAGTGAGGAAACTAAGGCCCAGGAAGTTTAAGTGACTGGCCTTCTAGACTGGTTTTAGAGTGTGAACTCTTAATCACTATCTATACTGTATCCTTTAAACTCAAAAGCTCCATGACTTTGTTAAATAAATATGGGTGGTGCCTTAGCAAAGTCAGCATTTCATTAACTGGGCGCTATTTTATTAGCCAATTTTCAACTGAATTGTAGGAAAATTCGACTTTTCAACACCCCAAAATGCAGCTGGGAAAGGGTCTCCACTATACTGACCTCAGTGTATAGAGGTCATCTGGCAAAACACTGCATGAATTTCTCAGGGCCAATTTCTTTTAAGGCTGTATCTGAAAATCATGATGGAGATCTGTAGGAAAATATACATACTTTAATTTACATAAAGCCTTTTAAGAAAATACTTCACGTAAAGCACAATCAAGATGTATTCTACACAGAACACTGCATTTTTAGGTAGTAAGTCTAAACTGAAATCCCATTATCTGTACATAAGATTCAGGCTGTGGCACCCCAAAGGTATGCACACATACAACCACTGTAGAAAGTATTCAACACCTTGCAGAGGAGGTTTTGTTCCTGCTATCTGCTTTGTTTTTTAACTAGACAAAATTAAACTACATTTTTAATTTCTAAAAGCAGTTTTCTCTGCTTTGAATTCAAACTTTTAAATTTACATATGATTATTTTTAAAAATCTGGTCCTTTTCAAGTAGAAAAAAAGAGAAACCTCAATTATACTTTACAGAAGGTTGACAGTGCCTCTTTAACCTGACCCTGAGCCCTCAGCTCCTGAAGTTACACAGTTACAGCATCATGTGGATGGGGGTGCTACAACAGTCAGTGCTACTCTCGACAGTGTTGAGAAAAAAAGCAATTCACGAACGAACTGAGCACCTACTGCAGACGAGACAGAGCCAGGTGCTGCCCCTGAGTAAGACCCAGCCCCACCCTCAAAGACTGTTCTTCCAGGAGAAAACCAGGGAGCTTAAATACCCTCAGTAGCGTTCCTCCAAGGCGTATTTTCAGTAAAGACCTCTTGCTTAAAAAAAAAAAAAAATCCCCTGAAAAAACAATTATAATCCCTCAACCTGCATCCACAAGGACAAGGATAAACTTAAAAAGCAGCATAATAATATTCTAAAGTTTTAGCTTTCCCTGCCCCACCCTTAAAAGGCTAATTGCTAAAACAACTTCAAGTTTATGGAAATACACGATGAAGGAGAGCGGCAAAGAAGGAGGTGGGTGGAGGACTGCTGGTTTTTACATCCAAGTTAAAGGGAATGCCATCTCCTCTTCCAGCCATTACAGAATTAACCAGATCACCAGCTGCCTGTGCTACATCTGTAGGTAACAGACAGACGTGGAATCACCCAGCCCCTGAAAGGAATGCCCAGAACTGTCTCCTCCCTTGTTATCCTCCTCTTGGCCTGGGACTCCTTTGGAACAACCATGGTAAGAATCAAGGTTTCCTTTCTTTCTAATGAAAACTAAATTTCCTCCTTGGGCAAAGATGCCGAACTCTGTCCAAAACAGTTTTTCCCCTTAGTGTTCTAGCCCAATTAATACAATCTCAGCAGTTATAAATTTCATTATCTGCTACTGAGCAAAGGCGAGAATGAAAAGTTTGTATTCAACATAACAGACTGCACAAAAGAGCTTACCAGAGGGGCTCTCAAAGGAACAGCTATACCCTTATTTGCAAAACACCCTTGAGAACATGTATCATTACTTTTGTTTAATAAAGAGATGGAGCTATCGCTTGACAGTGGATCAACGACACAGCCCAGGAAGGAAACCCACTGTGCATCAAGGTTCAATTCCTATCTTCCTAATACTCCTTTGGGTGGAAAAAATAATATATTTTTTTATATTGGGTTCTCCTTGGGGAGGGGGGAGGGGGAGACACAAAGTTTTAAAAAGAGAATTAAAAAGAGAATTAGGTGGTCAATAGAATTCGACCTGATACCAAGAATATTAGTAATACCTAACCAATTAGATTTGTTTCCAGATTAGGGAGCGATCCTAATTAGCTTCCATAATAATAACTGAATAGGGAAGGAAAAGGAATCAAAAGGGATCTAACTGATGTCCCCTGAAAATGACCTGCTCCTTCAATTATGTATTCTTCAATTAGAGGTGAAATGATAAAATAAATATCAAAGAATATTCCCAATATGATCTTTACAAACAAGAACAACACTGGCGGTGGTCGGGGGTGGCCAGTACGTGAGAGGAGGAAAGTACGTGAGAATAACTTAGGGTGATGCATTTAAAAACTGTACAGAGCGAGAGAATGCTCCTCCCTACTCTCTACCTAGACTGGGTCTCAGCTGATAAGGGAGAGGAAAGGTACAGAGCAACAGCCACTAGGACCAAGCCAGCTTCTCCCCTCAGCCACAGGTCTCTGGGCTGACCGCTGGGTTTCAAGAAGAGACTCTTCCCCTGGTATTTAGTTGATGAGCAAACAGCTGCTCAAGCCCTTGGCCAGCACGTCAGTATGCAGGGGCAATGTATCAGAAGAGGAGGCCCCTGTGAGACCTGGACATGACCATTATTTTCAAATCAATGTTGCTTAATGCCCTGAATGCTGCCAGGAATAAAGGAAGACAACCTGCAAGGAGCAGAGAAGAACCACCACGGAGACCTCTGTGCCTGTGGTCTAGCTAGGCACCAACAAGCAGAAAGCCAGTCCTGACCCACTAGGAGGTAATACGCTAGACTGGGTGAAGTGACTTCTGTGAAGCAACGTAAGATGTTAGGAGGAGGTTTCAATCTCCCTGACTACACTTCCTAGCATTCTTTACTTCCTGCACCAATTAACACACCAATGGAAAACAGGACAGGAGCATACAGATAGAGCCACGTTTCCTAATTTTGTATGTAACCATCTGATTTGCAGTTCTTACTGCAGCAATGACCTGGAACGAAACCTCTCCTGGCACATTCCCAGCTTTCCTTTCTTCTGTCCCATCCAGTAAGTTATGAGTTGGAGCATCATCCCCATTAGTACCTACTGGAGCCCCAAGTCAATTCCCTTCTGTGTGGTGCAGAACAAGTGCCACAGCCAACACAGTCCGGGCACAGTCCCTGCAGCCTTGCTGGGAGCAGTCGTGTCTAACCAGCTCACATCACTCCAGCCAGGAACGGGCTGGACTTGGTTCTTCATGGCACAACGTACACATGTTCCCTGATGTTCCAACGCAGCTTCCAATCCTGTCCGTGACTGCCCTGCCCCCACCCATCTTCCCTCTCCTATGGGTTTTGCTTTTTGCTATTTTTGAGATGAACCTGTAAACGTGAGAACTCAGAAATCTGAGGTACTTCACAGAAACACACTCAAGTATCAGTCTTCCATTTTTTGAAAACAAGAACACAGGAAACAAGTCCCTCCCCCTCTCCCCTCAGAAACGTGTGCGTCTTCCCACTCGGATATCAGTGGCTACCTCTGCACCACGTCGCTGATTTCCTGCACACACGACAGTAAGTTGTTAAGGACAGGGTTTGCCCCGGGCACACCAGCGGCTGCAGAAGACACCTGCAGCTCCTGCAGGCTGAGTTCCAGTTTGCTCACAGCCTCGCGGAAGGCAAACTTGTTGCGAGTTTGGGGGATGCAGTCCACATAGCCTGAGCAGTAGTCGAGCAGCTGGTGTCCAGTGTCCACCAGCTGGCTGTTGGGCACAGGTTCCGTGATTGCACTGGACAGTAGGTCAGCACATTCCAGCAGGGCCTCCTTGCTGATTTTGTCAGCTGAGATTTTCTCGGCTGCCTGTTTGGCTTTTCTCAGAGCCACTTTAGTACCTGCTGTGCCGTTGGCCATCCTGGCTGGCGAGATGGAAGGTGTGGGCAGAGGCACTTGAGGTGGAGGCATCACAGGCCTCCCAGCTTTCCCCCCGACGGGCACTGCCCCTGGAGCTGCCTTTTTCCCTCCCTCCGGTGTTTCTGACGTGGGCTGGCCTGCAGGCGGCTCTTCGGCGGAGTCTGAGCACAGGGACGGATGCTGCAGTAGCCTCACCACTGGTGGGGGGGGTGGGGCACACTTTGGTTTTACCCGGCGGGGTCGGTCCTTGTCTCCAGAGGATGTGACCTGATGCTCAGATAAGAGCTTGAATTTATTCCCCTGAGAGTCTGTGCCAATGAGCTGCACGTCAGCTGGAGTGTGCTTCAGAGTGGGTGAGATAAGGACTGGCACTTTGTGGTTGTGAGTGGTGGGGAGGGCGGCGGCAGCCTTGGCTGGAGAAGACCAGCCTGCCTGTTCACCATCCTCTGGGACTCCAGCCATGCCAAGTCGTGCCCCACCATTCCTCTCCTTGCTCTTTGGGGCAGCTGCCCCTCCAGCCACCCCTGCCCCTGGAGAGTCCTTCTCTGTAATGGCTGGATCCCCAGAGGGGGTTCTGAGAGGAAGAGCTGTGGCTCCTCTGGGCAAAAGTTTGGCTTTTGGTCTCTCCCTGGTTGGAGCAGCACCTTCCTCTGATTTTTTTGCAAGTGTGTCATTGGCCCTGTCCACATTCTCTTCTGGCTGAGAAGAGGTGGACACTGTCCTTTCCAGCTGGAGTTTGGACCTCTGGCAGTTCCTGGGAAGGGTCATTGCCATCCTATCCTGCTCTGGAAGCCCTGAGGACATGGAAGATGTAGAGTTTGACCTTGGAAAAGGCTTGGAAGTGTCATCACTGGCTGTGGGTTTACCTGCTCGTAAGCCCAGTGTCTTTTTGATTAAGCGCGGTGTAAAGAAGCCTGTGAGGCCAGACCACCCCCCGCCAGCAGCGCCACTGCCCCCACCCCCACCACCGTCGTCATTACAGAGGTTCCTCTGTGCAAAGCTCCCCCCATAGCACTTGGGTGGCACCAGATTCGCCTCTTGCTGGGCAGGAGTGAGAGAGAACCCATCAGCATGCTGTAGAGAAGCAACAGATGAGAAGTTACCCGTGAGTTCATATTTCTTGTGGGGCTGATTCTCCATTTCTCGGAAGGAGCTGCTGCGTTTGGGGGGTGTGGGAGCATTTCTCTTTTTCATGAAGGAGCTGAAGAAGCCTCCCTTCCTGTCCCTGGTGAAGCATGTCTCTTTGGCATCTTCCAAGAGGCTGCTGGGCGACTTGTCTCTTTGCTTTCGAGGCAGCGCTGGGGACCCACTGGGGGCCTGTGCACTTCTAATGAACCCTGATGAAAAACGGCCAATCAGTAATGTGAAAGGTAAGAAGTGACTCATTTGAGTTAGTAAGGCTGGACTGTAAGAACTTTCCAGCATCTATGAAATGTCAGGTGTTAGCAGGACTCAGAGAAAGCTCGTAAGTGCATTATCATTTCACACACTGCTGTTCCAATGCGATGTGGGATATAAACGGAAACAAAAACCTGAGGTTTTTACCTCAACATTCATCTTTTCTCTAGAAACTACAGCATAACCTGGCCTCACCAGTCAGGCTCAATGATGAAATTTTGGCCGAACTGTGAAGACAGTAACTACCTGGAAATCAGGAGCTGAGGAAATGGAGTGGGAGACAGAGCTGTGCGCTGGACAAACAGATCAGGACTACTCACGCTGTCGATGCAGAGCCGAGGACCAGAGAGGTAAATAAAACAGACGCCAGCCACACTTTCCTCGGGGAAGACGGGAAGGAAAGCGGAAATGGAAGCATCACACCCCATGGCTCTTTCAACAAGGCAGTCTGACTGCCTGCCTAGGGACTCATACCTGGTGCTGAACTGGAAGCAGAATTTTCTGTGGCATCTTGTGCCCCTTCAATATTCTCCTTGTTCTCCCCCTGCTTCTTCAGCGTCCGGGTCTTGGAAGGAAGTATAGGCAGTCGGGGCAGATATGGAACAACAGATGATGAGGAGGCAGCTCTCCCAAGCTCTTCAGCTACCTCTGTGAGGAAGACAAGAGGACTGATAAAAAGAACAATTTCATGACACAAAGGGGAGTTTCTCTTTTCAGAAAAGGCATACAACTAAGAAGAACTGGAGGATGCAGCACCCAAGTATGTAAGTCAAGCCACAGAGCACGTACTCTTTACATCTGGCTGCTTCTGCTCGGCACTGTCTACTGTGGATTCATTCATGTTACTGCACGTGGCAGGGTTTCTTCCTGTTGCTGTGTATTGTTCGAGTGTGTGAATATACCAACACTCGTCCATTCTCCTCTTGAATATTTAAGCCGTTTCCAGTTTGGGGCTGTGATGAATATATTGCTAGGAACATCCTGCTATGTGTCTTATGCTTCACAATCATATGCACGCACACACCTAGGAGCAGGACTGTTGTTGGGCCATAGGGAGCACAAAAATTCAGCTTTGTTGGGTCTTGCCAATCTGCCTCTCCAAACTGGCTGTACCAGTCCACATCCCCATTAGCACTGTATCAAAGTTCTGGTTACTCTGCATGCTTGCCAGAGTTTGACTTTATGGGTTTTTTGGTTTGATTTTAATTTTAGCCATTCTGGGCCAGGTGTGTCATGGCATCTCATTGTTTTATTTTGTACTTCTCTGATGATGGGCGATTTCCTGTGCTCATTGGTCGTTTGGATATCCTCATTTACTAAGTGCTTGCTCAGAGGATGAACAAAGCAAACATATGTCTGCAGGTATTTTTATTTCCAGGTTATGCATTGCAAAAAAGAGAAGGGTAAATACAATCCATCCACTTTATGCCAATGAAGCAAATGAGGCTCCTGAAAATGTGTTCACCCCCATTAGCATGCCTCAGCTGACTGACGCAGCCTGGTCATGGGTTTTGTGGCTTTTACTAATAAGGCAAAGACATACTTTGCTATTCATTCCTGAACAAAAATGAAGTATGGATCTATTAAATTATGATTTTTTTTATTATTTAACAACTTTTTGGGGGGTAATTATTTAAAAAATTGACAACTCACCCTCCCTGCACCAGAGTGGGTACGTGACACATAACCCAAGCCACGCCAGTGACACTCCGTTCTTACGCTGCTATACACGCAGCTGGGAGGCAGACGTGGGCTGTAAGGATATGACCGCAAGGAAGCTGACAAATGTGTCCCACGCCACTTGGACAATTAAGAGGATGAGATCAATGTAGGAACAAAAGTAAAGAGATAATGGGTGCATGAAAGTACGCAAAGGAGGGAGAGAGAAAGGGGAAGGAGACTTGAAGCTATTTGAGTCCACAGCTTCAAGTGACCCAGAGGTCAGCACCATCCTGTTTCTCCATGGTTTGGTTATGAGGCAATTAAATCTTCTTATTGCTTAAGAAGAGTTTGGGTTAGATTTCTTTCACTTACAACTAATAAATACATCCTTTTCAGGTAGGAACTATGTCATACCTCTACATCCTCAGACCTAGTATAGTGCCTGCCACAGACTAAATACTTAATAAAATGTGGGTTCAACAATGTTAAATTTCTTGCTTAGCAATTTTGAATTGAAATTAGCTTTGAAAAATTGGTAAGGGTTGATTTTCTAAAAGGATATAACATTTTCAAGAGAAGCAGAAATATTTAGCCAAGGACTCAACAGAAGTTAAGAGCTTACATAAAAGTACCAAAGAACTGGACCCTAATCTTTGGCCGATATTCACGACTTCTACCACTTCCACCACTCCGTAAGAAATAAAGGGCACACAGGGAAAAAGAGCTGTGACAGACGGCTGCTCAATCTGGCCCGAAGGCAAGCGGTGCTCCCCCAGCCCGCAGAAGGTCCCTGCATCAAAGGACTAGGATGGAAACACTTTTCACTGAACCTCGCTGGTGCACTTTTCCCTCTCTTCTTACCCACAAGGGATAAATCACTAAGGGAAGCAGACACAAATCAACTTGTCTGATTTCCTCTTCCAACACTTTTTAACTTGAGCTTAAGTACTAATAAGTTCTGTGTTCAATTATGAAGGAAAAAAAATGTGGGAAATACGTATACAATTCTGAAACTGTATCAAAATGTCTAATAGGCAAGTATAAGTAAGAATTCTGTGTTTTCTCTAGGGTTAGTCTCTCTTTATAACAAGTAAGTTTATCATTTGACTTCTGCAGAGAATTTTAAAGAGGCATTATATACAAAAGTAGGAAACTTCCTCTGTGTGTCTACACATTTGTTTTTGTTTTTTTAATTTCTTTTTTTCAAATTGAAGTGTAGTCAGTTTATAATGTGCCCATTTCTTGTGTACAGCATGTTTCAGTCATGCATGTACATACATGTATTCGTTTTCATATTCTTTTTCATTATAGGTGACTACAAAATATTGAATACAGTTCTCTGTGCTATATGGTAGAAACTTGTCATATATTTGTTTTTAGGTAAGAAAATGGTTCTCACTGCTCCCAGCTTAACATTCTCATTCTAAACTCCTTTCCATGTCAATATATTTAAGAATATCATTTTGAAGTATTTAACCATATGGATATAATAATTAGCAAAACAGATATTTAAATCATTCTTAACTATTCAATATTATAAACCAACACTCTGATACAACATCTTAATAGCTAAATCTCTGTTCATACTTATTTTCTTAAGATCTATTTCCAGAAATGGAATTTCTAGATATTGCTTTTGTGACTTGGTTCTGCCTCTGTAGGTGTTGTTCAGGGAGGTGAAAAACATTCTCATTTTTTAACTCTTCTCTTTCCTACATCTTGTTAATGCTTAACCACTGAACTTATTCTCTTCCTGAAAAGACTGAATTTCTAGTTAGAATATTTCAATATTAAAAATGAGCTAGAGACGCAAAGATACATTTTAAAACAGCATAAAAAGCGAAACAATAATAAAGGCCAAGAATTAATTCAATACCCTAAAATGGAGTCTCAGATTACAAGAATCTATCATTTTTGAAATGTTACTACCATCACCAGCACCCAGAGCTAGCCACCACCAACAGTAAATCACCAGATTCTCACCTTCAGAAATGCTAGAGTCATGGAACATGGTTTCAAAAGCTTGATGTGTTTCAGCAAAAGAGGGCCTGTCAGCAGGACTCCACTTCCAGCCTATGTAACAAAAGAAAGGCACTGTTAAAAGCTCCTTGCAGGAATTAAATATCCAGTGGCCTGATGGTGAGCTCCATGCATCAGGACATGCGCTTGATAAAGCAGAGTTACAGCAAGTTCACGATGACAGTGAGGCAGCAGCTTCTTAGTTCCAAATTCAGGGGTGCAATGAACCCACTTCCTAGGGCTGGTTCTTCCATGCAGCCTCAGCTCCTATTCCCTCTGCTATACGGATGCAGAAGGATGGGGAGATGGTTTAGAAAATGGCAAGTCCTCTTCCACAGGAAAATGAAATAGTGAAACACCTCTTCAAATTCACTCTTATAAATAACTATCTGTACACATTCAGAAACGTAACAGGGTATCAGAAAGGAGGAACGTGGAATCCACATTTGACAAAGACAGGGCAATAGGCAAAGCCAATGCTCAAGGAGAAAACAACACAACATACTCAAACACACTGTGATTTAATTCACTGCTCACCTTCCTACTTTCTCATCTGTAACAAGTCAGACGCTCTTGTTTATTCATCACAGAAGTCACTTTCATGTATTCTCCTCAGTCTTTAATAATCGTTTTATGTAGTTGCAAACAGCCCTCCACTACCTAATCTCCAAACCCAATTTCTTATAATCCTTTTAAACATGCAAATTCTGGGGGGGAATTGAGTGAATATTTGGGCCATAGACAATGATTCTTCAGATTCCAAAAAGACTCAATGGTAGAGCATATGATACCCCAGCTGGCTGATCAATGACCAACTTTATGTCATGAGGTTGTATTCAATCTTACAACGCTGAGAGGAAAAATGTTTTTAATTTTGACAATCATCCTGAATTGTTTACTTAAGCCTTCAAACTTGAAGTATGCAAAAACACTCACACGCTCTCATAAGTTCATACACCTTAGGGGGACATCCTTCAGGCTGTTCCATTCGATATCCTTTTTCCAGCAGATCATAGACTTGAGACAGGTCAATCCCTGGGTATGGTGACATTCCATATGTAGCAATTTCCCACAACAGTACCCCAAAAGCTGCAGAAGGGATGGGAAAAAAAAGCTTCATTTCTCTTCTCTGATTTATTATTTATTTTATATCATTAAGTACAGGTTAACTTCTCTCTCAAATTTTGGGTAACATATCACACTGTACAATATCAGTACAGTCTTCTAATTCATAAAAACATGACTTATTCTTCTAAGATATCTGACCCAGGAACACTTCAGGTATAATCTCAAGATGGTTTTCTTTAAATTTCCCCATTTCTATTTGGATTTCCTTTACTACAGTGAGGGAGAATAAATTATGACCATATGAGAGGTCTGTGGCATAGTCAAACTATTCTTAGAGCAATTTATGATCTGTTTAATGAATTTCATAATTTTTAAGTCAGCTAGTACTAGAAGAGTAATATAAAAATGGACTCACTTAAGATAAAGTTCACACTTGAAAAAACAATTTGCTTGACTTTGTCACAGCTTATTCCTGAGTTTGAGATGTCTGGTAAAATGCGACCTAGAATCCTTCAACTATTTCCACTGGCCCCCGGTGCAAACTTCCAGACTTGTTCTGTCCCTTGAACCTCTACTAAGTCATACTGCTTTTCAGAGCAGTTGAAACAAGATTAGCTGCAAGGACAACTTCTAGATGACACTTCCTCACGCCTCTGAAAAGAGGCTGCTACTCTGTGTCGCAGTGCTCTGTAAACAAGCAACAAAGCCCCACACAGAACACAGGGAGCGCCACAGAGAGGGGACCATCAGAAGCCCAGTGCAATGCAGTATCTAGACTGCGAGCGCTCTGAAGGCGGGGACTTTTTTTTTTTTTTTTTTGATTTCTTCTTCACAGCTTCTTTCTACAGTAAGTGCCTCCCTCACACAATGCCTGGCAGACAGTAAGTAATAAATGCTTGCTGAATGACTGAAGAAAGATGGGCATAAAGGCAGAGGATGCTGATTATAGAAAAGAGAAGGTCTAAAGAATTAAAATTAAGGAATTGAGCATTTGTGAATAAAGAAAATAAAATGACAGTACAGAGAAAAACGTCCCTTTCAACCTTACCCCAGACGTCAGATTTAATTGAGAAGGTGTTGTAGGCAAGACTCTCTGGTGCTGTCCACTTAATAGGGAATTTGGCTCCGGCATGAGCAGTATAGGTGTCCCCAGTCATCAATCTACTCAAGCCAAAGTCAGCCACTTTCACCACGTGGTTCTCTCCCACGAGGCAGTTCCGAGCTGCAAGATCTCTGTGGGAGAGAGAACTCTAATGTGAGTCCATTCAGATGGTTCTGGAAAATGGTCATGAATGCTCTCTTATTGGTTCTTTGTGCTACAAGCAGAGTAGGTAACTTAGTGCTGACAGATAGGGTAGCATTTTATGCAAATCAGAAACATGGTAGAAAGCCACTAATTTATCCATCACTTGTAGGGTACTCATCAAGAGGCAGTTACGTGACGTCAGAATAAAGCAGGCTTCAGAAACCGTTTTCTAAGAATATTGGGATAGGTTTCAGAGGTGAGCAACCGATGCTCTTCTACAAGGTTTTAAATTCTTTACTGAAACAGAAAGCTATTTTTAAAGTTAAGCCACTAGATGGAGCAAAAATATCCTGGATATAGTCCGGGGCAAAATAAAGAGCTTTCTGTTCTGAAAATAGCAGAGGCCCTGTATTAATACTTTAATCCGAGTACAGGAGGTTTATAAGTTGGAAATGAAATTACAATGGTCCCTGTGAAAGAGAAAATTATTCTCTGGAGTCGTCTGAGAATTTGGGGCAAGGTTCTCACATTCTTTCCTTTATTTGCACATTAAGCCGAGGTAGCTTCGTGGTTAATTATAGGCAATAATCAGGTTTTTACACACCTATGAATGAAATTCTTCTTCTCTAAATACTCCATTGCGGAAGAAATCTGTGTGGCCATGTACAGCAGTACAACCGCGGTCACCTCTTCTCGGTTGCATTCGCGGAGATAATCCAGCAAGTTCCCATACGGCATGTATTCGGTCACAATGTAAAATGGTGGCTCCAAAGTACACACACCTGACAGTTCAACAGAGCTTGTTCTATCAGCATATATTCAAACATTCCACATCACTTTGGCAAGAATAACTGACAATTTTAGCGAGGTTAAGAAGCTGGTTGATAAGGGAGTTCTGTTTCCACTATATCATTCTCTGGAAATTCATATACATTTTGAGTATGTGCTTGTTTGGGAAAAAGCAGAGTTACCTGAACTATCCCACAGAGGGTCAGGACTACCAACACTTCTAGAGTTCCATACAGGCCCACAGTTCCCAACTGCATGCTAACAACATTTACCTGAAAGTAGCAGCAACTGTGTGTATGTTAAGACTATGTGAGCCTAGCCTGTAACAATGCTTTCTAAAAAGATTATTAACTGTTTCCACAGTCCAGGATTTCACTAATATACGGAAGACTCCTTGTAAAGAACCAAAGAAACGATCTCCTTTGGCACAGTTTGGCTCAGTCTGGACACCCAAAGAAACTGGTCCTGTTTTTAAAAGGGCAGTGCTTTCAGCCAAAGGTTTCTGTGACCCGAACAGGTGGAGAAGCCAATCTATCACAGCACAGCACTTTCTGCTTGCACAGGCAAGCTGAAGGCAGCTGGTCACAACTTTAATCCATTTCTTTTCAACAGTCCTTTGCTCAATGTCTCTTTATTTTGTAAAAATATTCTGTGATAGTTTTTGGTTTAGTATCATTTTGAAGGATTCTTAACTTTGGATCTGGGGCAATTATCACAAGCTGGGCAATTTCATATATTGCAATCAATCCAGGTCACTGTTTCTTGGGTAACTGTAAACACAGAGACAGCTGATTAAAATAATAACCATTTACTGAAGTAGACTCGTACTGGGAGCTTCCACTACAGGGATTCAAAAGAGGGATTTGGAGATAACAGGGGTGAGGGACAGCATCTGTGAGGAAACCTGTGGTGCAGGCAAGCTTCCTCACCTAGCAGTTGTACCAGGTTAGGGTGCTTGATTTCCTTCATCACTGCTGCTTCTTTTAGGAATTCTTCCACCTCCATAGTATCTTCCTGGAAAAGGGGAAAGATAAGAAAAAAAGGAGAGGGACAAGCCCCCATCTTAATAATCATTTGAGTCAACTCACAATCCTAAAACTTCAGCTCTAAAAGCAGGTATCTTTTGAGTAATTTAGCACTTACTTCAAGAAATTTTATCACAAAGTAATATGCTCTATACAAGTCCAATTAAAAAAGAAAAATGTCTCCTTGAATTTATTCAATATTTGAAACTGGAATAAAATATAGTAGGGTAAGCAAAACTCAGCAATCATGTCCTATCACAACTCAAAGAGGAAGAGCCTTGGATGATACCTCAGTCCTCTGATAATTTACTTCTCTACAGCTCAGCTCTTGAAAGGACAGAGCGCGTCTGTCTTCCTGACAAATTCCTTAAAGAGCAATGCTTGTTTGCAAGGCTGTGCATAGTGTCTCACACTCAGAACAAGTGCTTGCTAAAAGAACTGACCACTACTCATAGGTCAAGGGCAGTCCTTACGAGTGACACGCCAGAGCTACTGAGGCACGTGAGGGAATCTTCAGAGAACGGAATGAGTGATGTAACTTGTAATTTGATACCAGGATGCTTAAAGGTGGTGGTGGGGGACATATCGTATTTCTGTGAATATTAAGAATAAGAAGTGATCTAATCTCATGGAGATGGGAGGAGCAAGCAGCAGAGAAAGGACAGAACAGGAGAAAGAGAGCCCGTGATTCTCCAACAATGCATGAAGAATTCTGTCCAGCAGTGGTTGTTCTGAGGAAGTTAAACAGCTTGTTTTGCTTTTATAACTTGTAATTTGCTTCTAACCTCCCACTAAGATCTACATCAGCAGCCTCCAGAGACAAACCTTCCCCACATGTGGGCTTCACTGCACTGCAGTGAAGTCTGCCCCTGCGTTGTCAGCAGTGGCACCAGGGTTAATCATCACCATCTGCTGATGTGCTTGGCACCAGTGCGTGGAAAGTGTTCCAAAGTTAAAGAAGGGCACGTTGATATTTCCAAGTGATTCAGCACAAAAGAAAAAGATGCCTGAAAACTGTAATTCTCAGCAACCCACCTTCAGTGTTTTCACAGCAACCGTAAGGCTGTATTTCTTCCAGACGCCAACGTAAACCTCTCCATACTGACCACCTCCAAGTTTGTGCTTCATGGTAATATCTGTTCGTTCCATCTCCCATTTGTCATGGATGGGGGACACACCGTAGACTGTAGGCTTATTACACTTGGGTGCTGGGTAGTGTAGTGTTGTCACCAGCCCGTCAGCCACTGTGGAGTGATGGTGAACAAGCTCAGCCAAGGTGCTAAAGCGGCTCTCGGCAGTTACATACACCTGGGGAGGAGAGCGGAGAAAAGCTAAACCAACCAGGAGGGGGTCAGTGTTTCCTGGTCTCAAGGGATGAAAATAAGGCATTATCTCATTAAGGTAAAGAGAGAATTAAACCATGATAGCAGAGGGAAACAGAACTTCAGTTCAGTCTCATTTAAACCATTCTCCCTATGTTTCCTAAAGCAGCCCTAGTCTTGAGGAGGGGAACGCTTCCAAAATCTCTCGCTGGATCATCAAGAGCACTGGTCTTCAAGTATTTTTAAGGAAAAAGATTGTGGAGCCCCAATACGTAAGGTAATGGAAGAGACGCACTGATTAAAGTAGGTAAGAGGGGACTGGCCTCTTGTAAGAGTTTATGGAATACCACTTCAGAACCTTGCACAGAACATAACTTAAAAACCACTTATTTTGGGCTGCCTCTCTCTCTCTCTCTCTCTTCGTTTGGAGACAGCCCGCACTCTGTCTATGAAGTATGTACCTACTTTTAATCTGAGCACCCAACCCCAACACCTCGTGGCCTCTCTCTTGCCTTTCAATGTATCTCTTTGAATAAACCTACTTTAACTCAAAAAAAAAAAATCAACAATAAAAAAACATTTATTTTGATTTATTTGGTAGAGAGAGGATATTAAAATATCTTATAATTTTTATTTCAATAGGATGTGCTTTCGAGTGTCTAGGCCATTAAAAAAGCCACAATTTTATTTCAGAGGGTTGTTAACAAAATAGTAGTTTATTTCCGATAAGCAGTAAGAAGTATACAGATAGCAGTCTCTGGGCCTTATCTCCCAGGGGCACTTGTTTATTTTTTAAAAAAGAAACATCTATTGTATTCCAAAGAGTATGCAATTAATACATGGAGAATTGATGACTTTTATAACATGAACTCACCCACGTAAACATCTCCCACACCAAGAATTTTAACATTACCAGCACCACAGAAAGCTCCCTCGTGCCTTCCCAGCTGTTTACCCCTGCAGAGGTGACCACCCTGCTGACTCCTAACACCTTGGATTAGCTCTGCCTGCCTGTGAATCACACCTACACAGGATGGAATCACATAGGTAAGTATTGTGCCTGCTTTCCTGCATTCAACTTTTTAAAAACTGTGATTATAATTCATGTATCATACCATAAAACTCACCATTTCAAGTGTACAATTCAGTGGTTTTATTATATTCAGTGGTTGTCCCACCATTACCACTACCTAACACCAGAGCATCTTCATCACCCTACAAAGAAACCTCTGGCCCATCAGCAGTCATTCCCACTACCATCAGACCCATCCACTGGGAGTCACCAACCCCTGTAACTCAGCTTTGTGTGTATGAGATTCATCTCTGACAGGGCCAGATACCAAGTATTTTAGGCTTGCGGCCATAGCATCTCTGTCATTACTCACATCTGCCGTAGTAATGAGAAAGCAGCTGTAAACAGCACATAAACAAATGGGTGTGGCTGCGTTTCAACAAAATTTTATTTACAAAAGCAAGTAGCTGGTGGGTCATAGTTTTTTCTCATAGTATGTATAGCAGTACTAAGTTCATTTTTGTTGTATGAGATTCCATTTTATTAATAGGCCAAAATTTATTAATCCATTCTACTGCTGTTAGAAAGTTGGATGCTTCCAGCCTCTGACTACATGTAAAGCTGCTGAGAACATCCCTGTTGGGTGTAACACCATAAGCAGAGTCTCTCCTACATTATCAGTTGTCTGACCTGATTAGGTTTCATCAAAAGACGTCTGTAAAGTGGTGCAAAAGAGAAAGAAAATTAACAATTTACTTATTTCCTACTTTGTACCAGCCACTATGTTTTATAGAAATGATTTCACTTAATCCTCACAAGAATCCAATAAAATGGGATGGGAAACTGAGGCTTAATTAAGATCACAAGGTTAATAAGTGGTAGAGTTACCCAGCAGACTAGACCTGCCTGCTCTAAAGCCTGTGCTTTCTCCCTACGATGCAGATCACAAAGAGGGAAAGAGTGGAAGAGACAATTCAACCTAAATTTACTGTTCAACAGAACCGACACAAGGCTATGCATTATCATTTATAAAGTAAAACAGTTCCATTCCAGCACAGCCATTCTTGTATGGTTGGTCTTTCCAACACGTAAACTGCTAAGTGACTGACTGATCTATTTATATTGACATACATTAATGATCAACATCAGTCTCACAAGCCTAAATTCTTACTCTGTAAACTTTCTGGCAGAGATTATTGTAATTTTCAAAGATACGAGGTTTAATTTATAAAGGCTACATAACGTATTGGATGCCTATGTGCACACTTGTATACTGAACAGCTAACTTACACAGCTGTTTCCTTCCTTCTTCACCTTCAAACCTAGCTCATCATTAAACTATTACCGTAATACTGTTTTTAGTTTCTATTACCATACTCTTTTGACAAGAATAAGCTCCAACAATGCCAAACAGCTCACACTCGTGTCAGTGATTATTTTCCGTCAAACATAAAAACTATACTCTTTAGTCACTCTGCATACTGAGTCTCAGGAGCGGCCAGCCCGCACGTCGGGGGCTGCCGGCCGGGCTCACCTTGCCGTCTGCGGCGGCGTTGATCCTGTAGTGGTACACGCGCCCCTCGTACCTGAGCGAGATTGACAGCTGCCCGGGGCTGCTCTCACTGTCTCGCACCAGGAAGCTGCCGTTGATCAGACTGCTGAGCAGATACTCTGCGGCGCTGCGAGACACAGGTCCGTGGTACCAGGAGTGCTTCTCCAGGCTGTTCACTGGGGTGATGTAGTTGCTTGGCACCCAACCCTGGCCATTCTTAGAGCGAACTTCACTCCACTCACCATTCTGGTTGTAACCAAGGACGCGCAGTTTTTCACCTAGCCAGGAGGCCACCGCAGAGGGAAAGAAAAGATGTTAAGACTATCTCAAACAGAAGTAGTCCACTGTCAAACTTTAAACTCACTGAAAAATGAATCAAGAACTTTTATGCCCCCAAAAATCTTTAAAAACAATGAAAACAAACTTGGCTGTCATCACTGCCTGACTGATATCTTCAGCCTGTAGCTTAAACAAAAGCAGCATAGTTAGAAATGGTTTTCTGGCATTACCTATAGGTTTTTAAACATTTTTCACACCATAGGAAACTCCATGTAAGGTACTAAGGTGGCATATAAAGAGAGAAAGGCTACTCAAGTGTTTGGAAAATGACGCAATTTCATCCTTCAAAAAAGATAAATAAAATTCATTTTTTCCTCAGTTTATCAGGGAATGTATCTTATGTATGGTTCAACGTTAACAACAATCAAGGATTTAAGGATAAGATATGTGAAATATAAACTTACTTCTAAATCTCAGTTAGCACCAAGACTACAAAACCAACAATGTTAAAAAAAAAAAAAAAAAGGACAAACCACAGAGCTTTCAGCAACGTTTTCAGGAAAAAAACCGTGTTTGGGGAAGGGGTGGCCAGTGAGGACTCCCAAAGCACAATCTTTTCCAGGACTCAAGTTTTAAAATAGTTATAGTTTTCCAATTTCCCTCCCATTCCCCATGACGAATGAATCACCCCATCTGCTCCTCCAAAATTAGTGTGTGGGAAAGGGAAGTTGAGTCTAAAGTTGAAACCCAAGACTCAAGTTACTCAGAGTGTCACTGCTATCAACTTCAATGCCCCTGATTTTCTAATGAAGTTGTTATCAACTTTAGACTCCCTAAGCATACAACCTGCCCCTGTGCTTGCAGCCAAACCAAACAGGAAAGGTGAAAGAGATGCTATTAGTAATAAACGATAATTTAGAGAATCTTTATAAGGCCTTAGGCCCCCATTTCTGAGAGATGCAAGCCTTTCTATAGAGTTCACATCCACTTCTCAGTGTCAGAAAACAGAAGAAACTCAGCTCAATCAAAAGCACATAGCCCAGCAGTTACCAGGGAGGCAAAGGTTGTTGAGGAAAAACCCAAAATTATTATTCTGGCAGCCATCTAACTTTTTTCAGTGGTCTACAGAAATGTTTTACCGTTAAGATAGCTTTCTGTTAGTGCCTACTAACTCACCCAAGACCCTTGGACATGAGACATTCAATAAATAAAAATAAGAGTATATGCATGTGCACACACACAAAGACATATATATATACATATATGTATAATATATATACACACAAATGGATAGGAGTGTGTATGCACATGGTGGTGGAAATGCACAAGTGTACAGATAAATACTTCCCAACCATATCTGCAGGGGGAAAAAAATCTTAGTGTTGCTAAAAAAGCCAAATAAAACTTGGTCGGTAGCTTCTCTCTAATACACCAAGAAAACAGGAAGTGAAGACCAAGTCCAGCCCTAAGTATACTGATGCTATTGTTGCTTCCTTACAAAGAACTGATGACAGGTCATCAGGATCAGGATACAGTCACACACCCTAGGTCTTTGGTTGGTTTCTCTTTTTGGCAATTACAAGCAGAATTTTCTACTCTGAGAGTTTCGAGTACCACAGAAATTGACAACGGACATAAATATTGGTCCTATTACCGGAAGAATCCTGGGAGAACTTTGTTTATTCACTGAAGCAAGATATCATCTTCCAAGAAGAAATTAAGTACTGCTATTTTATTTTTAAAATATTTTCTTGTCTTTTCAAATAATAAAATAGCTTTAGCATGGTATCTTTATATCAATAAGAACCTGTATAAAAATCTGGCATTTCATAGGTTTCAAGAGAAATCACTGTTGGCCATAAGATAAAGAGACTCACACTCCTTGAGCTGCATACTCGTGGTTACCCTAACTGGTAACCAAAGAATCAACAGACTTTCTTTATCAATGTTTCCTTGGTGACTGAGCTACCTTGGAAACTACTAACATGAAAATTATACCAAGGAAAGAATGTTCTGAGTCATCACTTCACAAACTTCTCCACTGAAGAACCTAAAGGTAAAAGAGTGTGTTTTAGCCCAAAGAGACTCCCTACCACACAGCATAAAATGTCTCTGAGTCCTTTGTTTTATCCTGAAACTTGGTGTAAAATTTTCCTCCCAATGCAGAAAACACCCTCTGACATACACATACAAATACCACCACCATCCCGCCCCCAAACTACCTAAAATCTTTAGATTGACCCTAGGAGATAACACTGCTCTTTATTTTTCCTGTGCCTTTGAAACCTCCTGGTACATGTATTCATACCGTCACATCCACTCTGGGGACGTACCTATACCCTAGTTCGAGAAACTCAGTTTTGAGGATTTCTGCTTGTGATGAATCTGGCTGGACTTTTAAAAACTGATGTATATAAAGATTTTATTTAAGGGTAACATTCTTTGAGTGGAGACCTGTCCTCTTAATTTGGTATATCCACTCCTACTTAACACCTCAGTCTGAACCTTACAAATAAGAAGAATGTGTTTGACAAATAATCATTTAAGTTACAATTTCATTTAGTTAAAAATTACTAACTACTATATATAAAATAGATAAACAACAAGTTTATACTGTATAGCACAGGGAACTAATATCTCATGGTAACCTATAATGAAAAAGAATATGAGAAAGAATATATGCATATATATGTATGACTGAAACATGCTATACACCAGAAACTGACACACTGTAAACTGACTATACTCCAATTTTTTTTAAATGGGAAAAAAATAATTTAATAAAATTAAAAAATTTTTAATTATCCTTTAACATATTTTTCCCTGTAAGAAGATTTCAGAGGTTCAAAGGACAAGAAAAGCTTACGCAAATTAGCAATTCAATGCATGTACATAATGAGAATGCCTCACTCTCCTATTTCTTTCTCGTAAAAGTTCCACATTTTCTGTACTTGTTCAAAAAACCAATAATGGATGATTTTACTTGATCATGTTCTTGGTGTTCCCTTTGATAAGAATTTACTACTGAAATAAACTACTACTCTCTTGAGGTTATTACTACAATAGAAACCCTTCCTACTAGTCCTTTCACTAACCCACATACACACAAATGTGGGGTAAGTTGTCTAGGCCAGCGCTACTCAAAGCATGTCCACAAGATAAGACACAGGTGCCAGAACGTGAATCACCGAGCTACTTTCTCATACTAAAAGTCTTGTTCCCAGAAGAAAAAAACAAGTCAGCTAAACTAAATAGTAAGTAGTGAGTTTACTTATGTAGTTGGTTTACAATTTGGGTGCAAGTTCTTAATCTCAGTGCAGACTGGTTGCACATGGTTCTCAGATAGGCAGCATCCACAAACACTGAGTAGTGCTGGGGTCTGGCACCGCGACTCATCTCAGTCAGCCACGGTTCAGTGAAAAGAGGCGCCCAGTGAACCTTACCTGTGTGGCAGATGAATGCCGCTTACTACACATAGAACAGAATCCTGAGGATGAGTAAATGTGTATATTGTGTGGTATTTTTTCTAAAGTATTTTATTTCACTCTATCCTCAATAAATCCTATAAAGTAGATAAAGGTGGCATTATCCCAACACAGGTTAAAAAAAAGACAATGAACCAAAAGTATCTGTGCCCAAATCACCAAGCTAATTTCAGTCAGAAGCATAAACTAGAAAAGCCCCCTTTATTTCTTAACCACTAATGTAAACTGAGAAGTGAGAGGATGTTACACAGAAGCTCACCTTTAGTGATACTTAGTGTGTTATCACCACTTGCTACAAAATCATAAAGTGCAACAAAGAGATTAGGGTCACTCTCAGTGGCTCCGAGCAAGTTCTCCTTGGAGCTCCACCTGATGGCTTCATTCAGGGCCTGGGGCTCAACATCACAGCCATAGGGGCGGTGCAAGGCTTCTGAAAGACAGAGAAACAAGGCCGCAGTAAGTCCAAGAACTGCAAATTCACTTCAATACAGTACATACACAGTATTTTAGCTGCTGGCATATGCTAACGGCTCCAGGGTAGAACAAAACTGTACACATAGCTGTGACGTCATGAAGAATGAACAAATGGCACCGTCTCCTAAAATTGAGAGAAGTCTACTCATTCAAAATATACCAAGATAGAGAAAAGAACACAAAATGAGCATTTAACTGTGATGTATGTGCAGTAATCAAAATCAGAAATAAATGAATAGGAAATGCAACAGTTTCCTTAAAATCTCAAAAATGTAAAAAGGAAACTTAAAAAGAAATGGCAATCATTTTAAAAACTACACAAGATAGTTTGTCCGGGTGATGGTGGCTTTGAGATGGAATAGTTACATGTGTCTCCCAAATACTTAAGATCCCCCACCACCAGAAAAAGGGAATAGTTATGTTTTCTAAGTCCTCCCAAACTACCTTTCTTCCCTTACACTCTCCATATAAAACAAATTGTGGAAAAGATAACAGATTTTAAGAAACATGTACAGATGGCATTCAGACCTATTTACATATAGAAAATTATGGAAATAGTGCTTTTGGGGGAAAAATCCTAAAATTATCTACTAAACAACAAAAATATTTTGGTTTAACACAAAATATTCTTGGCATCCCAAAATACCTTTGTGTTACTATGCACTGCCTATAACATTGCAGCTTTCAATTGTTAATTGTTTTAAGGAAAAAAAATTTAACCCTATTTTCTTTTTCTAGGTGCTACATTTTTATAAACTATCTATAACTTAATTAGGGCTTTAGAAAATATCACCAACAATGGACATGATTTACTGAGTTTCCACCACGTGTAACGGTTGAAGCCTTGTAAGACCTGGTTTCTTCAAGGCTTTAATGGTTGCCAAGTTTAGTGTGACTACACAAACAGGTGATCCCCATGCCATCTTAAAGCTCACCTGCTTCCCACAGCCCAGGACTATTAAAATACACCGCTCTTCCAGCAGCAATTTTCTTAATCACTAAAGCTGTTTTTAGTGGCTATCTGCCACTATCCAACTGCCTATGTGATACAACAACACTTCTCTAGTATGCCTCTCCCTCCCTCTCCCTCCACTCATTTTTAACTTAAACTTGGTTTTATCATACATGAAGGAGAAAAACACTTTGATCTGCGGCTTTCTTTCTTTCCCAATCCATTCCCTCTTCTCCAGCCCTACTGCCAACGCCTTAGTTCAGATCCCCGTCATCTCTCACCTGGACTACTGCCTCCAGTCTTGTCTCCCTCAAATCCATCCTCCACACAGCTGGCAAAGTGATCTATTTAAGACAAAAATTTGACCATGTCACACTTCTTAAGATTCTTCAGTAGTTCACCATCAAGCTAAAATCTCTTGAACATGGCCTTCGAGGTATCATAATCAGGTCTCCACCTACTTCTCCATCTTCACCTCTCCCCCACTTCACACTTCTAATTTTAAACTTTGACAGATACCATGATGCTTCCCACCTTTTTGCCTTTGTTCACACAGTCTTGTCTACCCAGAATGTGACCTCATCCCACTCTTTTTTTTTGACTGGCCAATCTCTATCCCTTTTTTTTTTAAACATTCAAACGCCAATATAACCTCCCCTGGGAAGTTTCACATGCTCCTCCACATTGTGCTCTCAAAAGCATTACACTTGCTGCATTAATACCCCCTTATTTATATTTAGAATACCTTCAACTTATGTTTATTTCCCCAACTTCACAACGTGCTCCTTGGCACAGGAACTGTATCTCTTTTCTAGTAAATTGCATAATATGTGTTCAATAACTGCTGACTGAATGACCAAATTACACAAAAATATAAGTGATGGGAAACAATGAGATGTATTTTAAACTTAAAATAGCATTAACCAATGTTTTAAAAATGGCTTCATAACTGTCCACATGATATAGGCAGAAATTCCTCCCATAGGTTGGACAGTCTCCTAACAGTATGTTTAATTTCACTTCATTACATTCCTTCCTCTGCTTAAAAAGAATACGTATTTTAAATTTCACAGCTTATTAAACTGTCTTACATTAAGAGTGTTACAACAAATCTAAAGACACGTCCAGACATCCTGAAAAGATGATTTGAAACAAGTATGTTATTCCTTGTTTAAATGTAGAATTATAGTGAACAGGAACAGCTGTATTATTTACTAAGACAAATTAGGATTACCCAAAACCCAAAATACCATCTTTATATAAAACATGCTTCAAACTGGTCTCATGTACTATGTTTTTCTTTATTCTAATAAAAAACTATCTACTACATTGGGCTACATTATTAAAATGAAAATACCAAAACGAAGTACAGACTATTCACAACTTTTTTTAAGTTCTATACTGAATACCACATGATCCACAATAATGTTTCCTGCCAGTGATAGTGGTAACACACTACAATGTTGTATGATTATTACTTGATTTAATGATTATCCAACAGTTCAAGTATATTTCCTTCTTTTTAGACAAAAGGAAGTCCCCCTTGTTTGAAATTGTAAGACCAACAAAAGCCAAGGATAATAAGAACTTCTGTACTACCAAGTCAGAAACAGTAATGAAGCAGACACTAAAGCCAACTCAAATCCTATCAGGCAAAAAACAGCAAATAACATACATTTATATCTTATTTTGTAAAACCCAATATATTAAAATTTTAAGATTTACAAAACTAATAATTTTAGTGAACATTTACTACAAACAAGACACCATGCTGGGCTTCAGAACATAAAGATTATAAATCACCAATAACATTACTTGCACTTGCTATAAAAAAAACTAGTCTCCATTTTTTCCACCAAATCTGCTTCTCCCACAGAATTCTCCACCTCAGATAATGGCAATTTCATCTTTTTCAGCTGCTCAGGCCAAAAACCTTGGAAGTTTGGTACAAACTATAGGACAAATAAATTCTAGAGATCTAGTGTATAACAGTGGTTAAAATTAATAATACTGCATTATATACTTGAAAGTTGCTATGAGAATAGATCTTAGATATTCTCACCACAAAAAAACAATGGTAATTATGTGACCTGACATAGGTATTAGCTAATGCTATGGCGGCAATCATCTTGAAATACGTGTACCAAATCAATACTTGTGTATTACACCTTAAATTTACACGTTACATGCCGATTGTATCAATAAAGGTAGGGGGAGAAAAACAAAAGATCTTGGAATCATTCATGACTCCTTTTTTGCTCTCAAATACAACATCCAATCCATCAGGAAATCCTACTGGCACTGCCTCCAAAACTGTAACTGGAATCTGTCCATTTCTCACCCCCTCCACAACTACTACACTGTCACCACCACCACCAGTTCTCACCTAGGTTATTTCAGACTCCTAACTGATCTCCATGCCTCAATCCTTACTCTCTACTGTCTACTTTCAACACACTAGTCAGCTTTTAAAGCGTTAAGTCAGATCACTTCATTGCTCTGCTCAAAACTCTTTGATGGCTCCCTATCTAAGAGTAAAAGCTCTTACTAGGACCTGCAGGCCCTCTGCAACATGTCTTGCCCAAAACATTTTCCTACTACCCCTTCCCTACTTTACCTCATTCTGACCAAGAGCCTCCCTGCTGTTACTTGAACTCCTACCTCAGGACCTTTGTACTGGCTTTTCCCTCTGCCTGAGACATTCTTCCCCAAGATATCCACATGACACTTCACACAAATGTTACCCTCTTGGTACGGCATTCTCTGACTATTCTATTTTAAAATGCATCTATTCCTGACCCTTCCACATCCCCCATGTCTCCTTTCCTAATTTGTTTCTCTCCATCGCTCTTATTACCACAAAATATGTAATCTATTTATTTATCATTATATTCGTGTAAATTATTATCTCACCCTACTGGAATATTAGTTTTATGAGGACAGGTATTTTTGTCTGTTTTGTTCACTGATGAATTCCAAGCACCCAAAAAAGTGAATGTTTATAAGAGGCTCTCAAAAATGATTTGTTGAATAAATGAATCACACTTACTGTTATACTTACTTACAGAGGGTGCTATGAGAGAACAGAATAAAAAACAAAACTCCAGAGTCAGAAAAGGTTTCAGAGAAAAGAAAGCCTTTAAGCTGGATGAGTAGTAATTGTGCACTGATGACAGCAGAGTGACAGACTGTCAAAGTGCAAGAACATGCCTATGACATGCGATGCATCAAGCCTAGAGAGGAACTCCATCAAGCTCAAAGGAGGATTTTTCAAAGGCAAGTCAGCTTCTTAAAAACCATGTTATTTGACAAAAAGAGAAAAGACAACAAGACCTATGGCACAATTTTGTGAAAATTAAAAAATATATATTCAGGCCACACAAAACTCTCCATTTCTCAAATACATAAAATGATAAATATAGCGAAAAAGTCATTTTTGAGGCTAAAGTACTAAAAGAACCACAACTTAGAAAACGATTCTTTTTATTCTCCAATCCCCTTCTCATCTCTGGTTTTAGAGTCTTTCTGGTCAAGTCAAAAGATCTTATTTCCTTCCTTTCTTCTTTCTTCCCACTCACACTTTTGTTCTCACAGAACTAAGGGTCAGTTTCCTGTACGGTCTGCCTACACAGGATATCCACTTACACACCATCCTACCCACTAGCACCAAACAAAAGGGGAAATTTTTCAAAGACAAAAACATCCTAACATCTTCCTGAGGCCAAGAATAAATAAGTAATAAATCATAAAGAGTTAAAGAACTAAATGGGGGAGAACAAGCTAAGGAATAAAGACAAAAGGGGGTGGGGGAGAAGGAAGAGCAAGTAAATGCCACAGTGTTATCCAGTGGGTCCCAACTATGCCACTTTCCTCACTGGCTTAAGTCAGACAAATCTGGATGATTCAGATGTACTGCACCCGCCCAAATGCAAGTGTGTAGGCTGGGAACGTTTTATTTTTGAACAACGTGAACTGACTACTACGTAAGGTACTTGAGGTACCTTTCGTTAATTCCTGTTATAGAGGTAGATCACAGACTTAAGATGAGACAACAGAAGACTCTAATTTTCACTCATGGAATATAGGACCCAGGTAGCAGGAGTACATTCTAAGCACTAAGGAAATTTTATTACTTTTTTCTGATACCCTTGGAGGATACAATAAAAATAAGGAAAATACAGAAAAAGCAGCTTGTACAAATTACCAGGATTAAACAAGTTAAACCCCAGAATAAAACTCAAACTTCAATTCAAAGATAATTTCTAAATTTAATGTTTAATTTTATTAAAAATACTTTTCAGAGAAGAGGGCATAGCTCAGTGGTAGAGCTGCATGCTTAGCATGCATGAGGTCCTGGATTCAACCCCCAGTACCCCCATTAAACTAAACTAACTAAATAAATAAAACTACCTTCTGCCCCCTCCATGAAAAAAAAAAAAAGAAAAACATTTTAAAACCACTTTTCACCAATTATTCAATGACTTTTATCCGTTTAAGCAGAAATTTGTCAGGTAGTAATTGGAGAAATTAATATACAAAATTTTCAGGTTAGTCACTTTCTAGTATTTTACAAACACTTATCTTGCCAGAATTCTACTTTGTCTGCATATTCTGTAAGAAGCTAATACCTCTTTTAAAAACTAATTAAGGTGGTTGGATAGATCATTCAATTGTTCTCAATACAGCTTAAGTTCTTCATATGACGGCCACATGTATCTTAATATCACAAAATATTACATATCATTCACTCATTCTTTCACTCACTTACTGAGTCCCACTATGAGACCTTACTTACTGAGGCCTTGCTATGAAACATCAGGAGAAAAATACATACAACTTCACCGGCCAAGAATAAAGATAACAGATAAGATTAATTTTCTGAAATCTCCATTCATGCTTGATTGGCTGTGATTATCTTCCCTCCCCCAGACTACCACCTCTGAACCATACCTGTCAAGTTGGGTCCAACAGTTTCTGAGGCCTCACTGCACAGGCAGCAAAGGAACGTGTCCTGATCTCTGCCATAACTACTAGGCGGAAGCAGAACTGTCCCAAGGACCATTCTCTGCCCAGAAGCACAAAAGTTCAACTGTTCGATGTGAAGAGGAAGTCTTGGAATTCCACTCTCTTGCAAGCAATACCACATGCATGTGACACTTACTCATGTTCTCAGTGGCTAGAATGAACCAATGGAAGGGCAGGCATTCACAAATCCCAAAGTGGGTGGAGAGTTACCTAAAGGAAAATGTCTAGCAATCGGCAAAATATTGAGTCAGAATGGAGAACTTCAAAACCTCCGGAGCATTTTGGAAAAATAAATAAGCAACGTAAAAACCAACACACACAAGTAACAAGTAAGATACACAGGGATTAGTACACAGACTGGATTTCATTCCTAAGCAATGATGAATTGAGACTGTAGCAAAAAGTTTCCTTGGAGAAGACAACAAAACACCAAATATACTTTTAAAAGAGAGGAAACGCCTAACGAGACTCACCTTCTGCATCACTTAAATTTGAGTTCAAGCAACCACAAATCCGAAGTCAAGGAAACAGTTACAATCTGATTCCTAAACACAGAAGCCAGGAAGTGACAGCCTTCAGTAATATTTTGGCTCTCTAGCTTAATAACGGTTAAAAACATGGCATGAAAACTTGAATGTTAAAACTTTTAAAAGCAAAAGCCTAATCTTTATTAATATATAGGAACAAAATTAAATAAAATTTAAGACCCTGAAAATGAGAGTACCTTATAAGAATTAAACTAGTAAAATCTACAAATGATGGATGCCCTTAGGGGCACAATTTACAAATACCAGAATGTTTGTTACTGTACAGCTAAGAACATTCATTGAGTCAATAAATAATTTATTAAGTACCTACTATGTACCAGCCCGTGTAATGGGTTCCAGGTCAATAAAGGTAACAGTAAAATTATAGACAGCAGGACTGAAATAGCATTCAATATGAAAATTAAATAAAATTATAAAGTAACCTTAAGGAGTGAATGACTTTAATATAGGTAATTATTAATAGTCTTTAAAAAAACCAAAACTTCTGCTTTCAAAGAAATTAACCTTTTATGAAGCCAGTACTGTTAACAACATAGGGAAAGCAAGAGTTAAGTTAAATGACTACCAGGTTACCTCAATTAGTAACTCAGAATTCCAAATGCTGGGTTGAATTTCTCCTTCCCTAAATTAAAAAAATGTAAGGGAAAGGAACTCCGTAGCCCATGTTCTATATATGTCTATATTCTATACATATGATTTACTATTTAATCAATAAATCTGCTAATTACCAGTAATTTATAGCTACACTTTCGAAGTAATTTACAGTTACACTTTCAATAAATCTGCTAATTACCAGTAATTTATAGTTACTTTCAAATACACTTCTAATCAAGAGAACAAAGGGGATGAACAAATAAACAGGTGGTACATACATATAATGGAATATTATTCAATCACAAAAAGAATGAAATTTTGATATATGCTGCAACATAGATGGGCTTTGAAAACATGCTGAGTGAAATAAGCCAGACACAGAAAAATAAATATTTTATGATTCCATTTATATGAAATATCCAGAAGTTGCCCCAGTTCTCAAAATCTAGTTCTGCAAATGAATGGTTACCCAACGCTGTGAATATACTTGAGGCTACTAAATGTACAGCTAAAGATAGTTTAAAAGTTTTATATTAAGTATACTTTACAATAAAAAAGTTTAATTAAAAATTTAAAAGTATTAAACATCTCCAAAGACCTGTCATGTGGGTTATATCTATCATTATTTACCATATTTGAAATTAAAACTAAGAAATTGTAACAAATTAAAAATAACAATAAGCCCACTATGTTAACATTTTATTAAAAAATAACTACTCTTGAAAAGAGAATTAAGAGGCAGGAGTAACACTGTCATAGTACATAGATACGAAAGTATAAGAGGAAGGGATATTTTATTATTCTTTCAGATTGTTATGGATACTCTTCTTTGACACCATACCAAAACTTGACAAGTAAGAGTTTTTTAAAGGTTACTTGTAACATGAAATCTGAAACCCATAAGCAAAATTTCTATAATCTGTCAAATTAAAAATCTGTTGGTTTATTCTGTACTTGGAATGGGTCTATTTTGTCATTTGAATTTTTTTTAACATCATGAATTGAGCACCTGAAATACTGGTTTACTAAAATGTTGATACATATTTCATTACACAATACTGATACATCATATTCATCACTATCACCATCTATCTCATTAGAAAGTTTTAGTACTAGGAAGCTGTGATGGTCACAATGGAGGCTACTAATTTTATTAAATTCTAATTTTTGCTTAAAAGCTCAAATTCTACCATTTCCAACAATTACTATCTGTTTTCCTTGAAGTAGCAAATTCAATTCTTTTTCAAGAAAATGTCTGCCAAATCCCAATTTTGAATAGTTTGTCATTCAGTCTTTCAAGTAAAAATAAGTGTTCCATGAAAAAAGCAGCCAATCTCAAACTCCCAATTTATCCCTTCCCACATCCTTTCCCCCTGGTAACCATAAGTTTGTTTTCTATGTCTGTGAGTCTGTTTCTGTTTTATAAATAAGTTCATTTGTCTTTTTTTTTTTTTTTTTAGATTCCACATATGAGTCTCCATAGGGCATTTTTCTTTCTGTTTCTGGCTTACTGCACTTAGAATGACATTCTCCAGGTCCATCCATGTTGCTGCAAATGGCATTATTTTATTGCTTTTTATGGCTGAGTAGTATTCCACCCCCTTCTTAAACAGTAGGATATTTCACACTCTTCTTGCTCTTCTCGCTTATATGTAAGATCACTCCACAGCAGCACAACACAGAAATAGGTCTCTTCCTATGTACAGCTGCATAACATTTCCTGTCAATTACTACACTTAAATGAGGACAATTTAGAATAAATAGCAAGATTTTATATTCTGGATCATGACTGAAAAAAAGCCAATTAAATTTAAATGGTACATTCATAAATTTGGAGAACTAATCAGTGTTATTTCTGTTCAACTCCTATTTAGGCATCCAGACATCTCCATTTAGGCTAGTAAAGTTACACACACAACCAGAAATCAACATACACTTTTTGCTTAAACATGCTGACCTCCCTCTGAATAATACCATATAGAACTGAATAAGGCACCCCTAAAATAATCTTCAATGATTCAATATTTCTCTACAAAACCAAGTTCAGATAATAACTATATTTTTATTTATAATTCATGGGCAAGAATAGTTACAATAACGATAGGACATCCAGGAGCACCATTACATTAAATACTGCTTGGCTGCAGTCACACAGCTCCAAGGAGAAAGTAGAAGGAAAAAAACCTGCACAACTCCCACAGTAGAAACTAGGCAAGGTTCAGAAAAAATCAAAGTCATGAACAGCGTAGAAATGATGTACAAAAGAGCTCTGTGGGAAATGAAATTTAAGTTAGAAAACTACAAAAATTAAGAAAGATACTACAAAAGTGGAAGATAAAAAGATACTTTTGTGATTCTATGCTGCTTTTAATTACCTAAACCCTCTAATACCTTTAACATTTTAGAGAATGAATCATACGAAAAAGTACACATGAAAAACTAATCACTAAAAAATGATAAATGAAAGCTTAGGAAGATTAAACTCAACAAAATTATTCGTGTGACATGCTTTCATTTTTTAAATTGTTTTCAATTTATGAAAGTGGTGTATGTTCATTATATAAAATTTGGGAACTATACACAAATAGAAAGACAACACACTATCCACTTATACATCCCCACTTATTAAATTATTAAAATAATATGGATAGTTTTGCATCTTGCCCCTTTAATCTGCATCATGTTTCATTCATTCAGCCAGTATTTACTGAGTAGCTACTATGTGCAAAGCACTTTGCTAGGCAGGATATATTAGGTGCTAGGCAAGAAATAAACAAAGTCCATAAGAGATACAGAAAACTTTAGAAAACGTGACAAGGCCAAAAGCAAAAGAAGGATCTAAGTAGAGAGAATGTAGCAAGCACAAAAACCCCAAGCTAGGAAGGAACCTGGTACATAGAGGAAATGAAGAGTGTGGCTATAATTGAGGAAGTCAGAAGAGGAGCATGAAAAAACGGTAAGGTAGATAGGGGCCAGCCAGACCAAGCACTTAAAGATTGAAAATTCTATTTCAAGTACAATGGAAATTCACTGAGTAGTGCTAAGTAGGGAGGTGATATGTTATGACTTCCACTTTGTAAAACACCACTCTGGCTACTGGGTTAAAAAAATGGATAAGATGGGGGAACAAAATTAGAAACAAGAGAATATGCAGCAGTTCAGGAATGGGATGTTGGCGTGAAATAGAACAGTGTCAGTGAAGGCAAAGAAAAGTGGAATTGATAGGGCTTGCAGATTACTTGGATATAAGGAGAGGGAAAAAATAAAGAATGGCTGCCAGTTTCCAGCCTTAAATAAATGGGTAGAAGGCCATGTAATTCACTCAAAAGCTATAGTAGTATAAATCAAAAGTTCCACCACTGAGAAGTAAATTTGAAAGATACAGTTAAACAGCTTGATACATAAACCTGGAGCTCAGAGAGAATCCTGGACTACAGACATCAGCATATTCAAAACCATGGATTTGGATGAGCTCACTTTAGGGAAAGGAGACTCTGCAGGATCACACTTACAGGGGAACAATGACTGGAACACTGCAGATTTTTCATTTGAAACTTTGGAGTCCAGAAAGAAATGAAAAAACATTATCTTGAGTGCTGAGAGAAAAAACAGTCGGTCATCCCAAATCCCATCTCCACAGAAAATATCCTTCAGAAATGAAGGTGAAATAAAGACACTCTTAGCTGAAGGGAAGAAGAACGCATTGCCAGCAGACCTGCTCTAAAAGAACTATTAAAGGAAGTTCTTCAGACAGAATGGAAATACCAGAAGGAAACTTTATTCATTAGGAAACTTTATTCATTAGGAATAAAGAAAGAGAAGCTAAATTGAAAATAGAATAGACTACTCTTTTGAGTTCCTTAAAATATGTTTAATGGTTGGAAGCAAAAAGTGTAACACCACCTGTAAGGACTCTTCAATATATGTAAATATACCATATAACAACTATAACATAAAGAGGGGGAAGAAAACAACATGATGGTAAGATTTCCATATTTCACTTGAGGTGGTAAAATAGTGACTCTAAAGTAAGGTGTGAAAAGTTTAGTATGTATACTGAACTCCCTTGAGAAATCACTAGAGAACCCATACAAAGAAATATAGCAAAAAACACAACAGATACATTAAAATGGAATACTAAAAAAATGTTAACAATCCGTGAGAAGGCAGGAAAAGGGAAACAGGAACAAACAGAAAAAAAATAAAACAGTAGACCCAAATCCAAACATTAACAATTACATTAAATGACAATAGTCTAAACACAGTTATGTACAGATTGGCAGAACAGATAAATAATATGATCCAACTATATCTAACAGAAACTCACTTCAAATATAGTCATATAAATAGTTTAAAAATAAAAGGAT